GTAACGTCATATACACTCTTGTTTGTTCGGTCGTCGTCCCCAGCTTCAATGACGAGCACGGGTTTCGCGGAGTCCTCAGAGAGACGTCCAGCAACAGTGAGCCCTGCGAGTCCACCTCCGACGATAATGTAGTCAAAAGTTTGACCATTCGCAGAGCTGGCATCCGTAGTGACTCCAAATGCATGCCTGTGCAATGGTGATGATGCTAGGGCAACTATAGGCAGAGATAGGGAAAGGATTCGAATAAGCCTGCTCATTGGTGTGAGGCTAGGGATAGGACAACGACGAACGGGCCAAAGGATATTCAAAGTAATTTCAGAGCATATAAACCATTTTGATGACCGGAAGAAACGGCGATTAAGCGCGGGGTTATTCCTCGCGCATTCTGGTATGAGCGCGATGAATTCGGGTCGTCGGACTCCGTCATTTGCATAGTACTTAGTACGAACAGCTTCTTCGAGACTCAATGGCAGCCCTGGCTCGTATTTTCAAACGCATATGCGACCACATCGGTACTGGAGAAGATAAGAAGGGCGAACAGCGCGCACGAAGACTCGCGGTAAAAAATGGGTCCGAGAGAAGACCATGCACCCACGAAGGATTGAATTACGCTGAATCACATAGCAAACAGAGAGCTTGTGGAATGTTCCTGAAGAGATACACAATAAAGACGGAATATGGCCTTCCGGACTTCTTTTTAGAGCTTTGTGGACCAAGATAATTGTAGATGGGGTGAAGACAGTGCCTCAAGCCACATTCAGCCATTGCATGTCGTCAGCGAAGAAACCCTTCCTGGGGAGCAATACAAACATGTGTACATTTTGGCAAAAGTACGTAACAGCAGGCCGAGAGAGACGGAACAGATACTGCAGGTTAAGAGCTGGCAATTTGAAGTTTATGCAATGTGATGACGGATGAGAGCAACTTGCGGAAAGGACCCGCTGATCAGCCTGATCAGCCTTCCAAACTTAGTCTATCACGTAATGAAATTGGCAAAAACAGAACAAACATCCAATTCCATCAATGCAGTCTAGAGTACGAGTGGAAACTGGCCAGTTTGCCACACTGAGGTTATCCACGTGGGTTACTCACGAGGATAACCACGAGGGGAACTGAAACAGGGAAAAATACTATGTGGTGAACTGTATTAAGTAGCATATTAGTTGTTCAAAAAAACAGAAAAATGAGGGAATAAAGTACATAATTATGTTTGTACAAGTCCTCTCCCCTAGAGAGATCGAAATAAATCATCAACCGTTTGTTAGCCCTACCAAATTCTTGCATTTATTGAGGAAAATTACTATTTTGGGCATATTGCATAATATAGTTAGCTAATTCCCAACATGTTGACAACGTTGGAATAACCCTGCTAGTTTTCCACATGTGGTTATCCACGTGTGGGAAACCCTCAAAACAGTTTCCACTCGTACACTAATGCAGTCATGGCCTCATGCACTCTGGAGTCAAAGCATGCAAACATATTAATTCATACAGGCCTTGTAAAACGAAAATTCAGCTAGTCAATAATGGCACCACATGTCAAGACGCAACATATGTCTAATACCACTGAGACTACTCTGTAGTTCACCTTGTACTTTAGGCAACACTAGCATTCCCTGCTTTTAAATTGTAAGTTATTACTAATAATCGAAAGTATTTGCTCAAAATATACCTTCATCCCTGTCTGCTTGGTTTAATTCTATGTTACTCAGAGTCTTCATGCAATAAGCTCGTGCCTTCATTCAATCCATACTTTCCGGCCTCCTCCAAGTTGATCAACATCCGGCTTCCCGATATGCTCAAAAACAACGGGTTTCCAGCTTGCTTGATGAAGGCCGCCAGAAACTTGCTGTTGATCCGGAACTTGAGTTCTATGGTTCTTAGATTCGAGCACGTTAGCGCCCTGGTTGCATACGTTAGACCTTCACCGACACGAATACTCTTTCAGTTACAGAATGAAATACATTGCTTGATCCTGAATGAGAACTCGGACAAGCCGGAATCCTTTGAAACCGGCCGACATCTTCCAGTACTCCGCTGCTTTTTAAAGTGCGAGCATCATGAGAAGTGTCCCATATATCATAGGAATCGACCTGAGTGTATATACCACTACGCCATCTTTAAAAGTATTTTGCTCGTACCAGTCTATAATCCCGCATACAGTAACATTGTTTGCAAAAGCTACAGTTGTCACTGTTTTATGATGAATATAATCCAAGTCTGCAAGAAAATAAGGCTGAAAACCTACAGCCTTGTGCTAATATTCTATAAACGATGAAAGAAAATTGAGACTGCTTCGAAGGCTAAAAACGTCATAAGGAAGGTCGCTAATTTCTTATCTAATCTAATATACGGTCAGTGCGGGAAACTTTAGTATTCAACTACAAACCTCCAGTATTACATAAGTGCAAAGACTCGAACCATAAGAACATCTATGAGAATAAAATATAAGAAATATAATTCGCACTAAATACCACGAACACGTACAGTCTATCAGGACAAGATTAACCCAACCTTACAAATGTTTAGAAGAATACACACTTTAACTAAAATTGAAACCTACAGGATAGCTGATATCTCCAGGTCGCAAATTTGCCTGTGCCATGTTAGGCTAATGAAACGAATTATGTACCGTGTGACTCACATCTTTAAGAGAGAATTGTCAGTAATTATTTCGACGAACAGACTCGGAAGACTCACATGACAACTGGTGGGTTATAGATTGCCCCTTATACAGTATTGAAGCATTACAGACAAATTGCAAATACCCAAAACTGTTTACTTACAAAATTCATTCGATATTGCTCCGAAAGCACCAATATATCTGTTCTGTGCATGGTTAGCACTGGTAACATACAATTTTGCTCTTCAACCCACCAAGGAGTAGACCACAGCTATTACCTTTCGTTTGTCATTTCCCTTCTTAACGGAAATGAGCCTCTAGTGGCTGCTCAAGCAATAGAAATAAAGTACCTAGAAAAACTTGACCTATTGTAATTAAGGTAGACGAAAGATGAACTCGACAAGCTGTGTGAATCTGAAATGTATGCGTGGGAAACACTTGACACATTTTGACTCAGCTGCCATCACATCAAACGTTAACTTTAATCTGTACCTCTCATCCTGGCCTTTCCTACATTTTACATTTTTAATGTTTTTGAGGATGATTAACCTTAGGCCCAGTGACCCAAGACGAAGGTTTGGTTAAAAACAACTGTCTTAACAGCGCGTACGTTGGGGGTTTCCTCTCACCGCTCTGTAGTAAATTGCTTATGATGCTTCCTAGCCTACCTTCGTGTTCAATCGATTTCGGCTGCACCCGCCGCGGGAACTTCATAAAACCCTCGAAAATTTCGTGGATCGATATCGCTACCAATATGTACCATAAAAACTCTCTGACTTGGTGAGCTTGCAATGTTTTTCATCGACGTCCGTCTTTTGCATTGGCCTCGGAATGAACCCCTCTGAGGCCGTGAATGTTATGCAAGCCAATCTGTAAGTCGACTTTCTTGCCCTTTACTAGTTCGACATTTAATATTCGGGGTGGCAGGACGAGCATACTGGATGTTTCCGAGCAGCCTCCTCGACGAGATGCTACGAGTTTTATTCGTTTTTGTCTTCAACTGGCCCAATACGAGCGCTAGCAAAGTGAGTACTTGTGACTTGACGAAGGTTCGGCGTGGTTTGGATTCCTGCAAAATCTGGCACTCATCCTCAATCGAGAGTGCTACAGGGCGATTCAAACGTTGTCTTCAACTGTCTCTGTTGGGAGTTCTGGTCTGGTTGCAACGTACTCGGCTCTTCTCACTTGGATAATGTTCTAGGGTGATTGAAGCTCTGCAACCCTACCAAGCTACTGTTGTCTAGCACATCGTCTTGATCCTCGTCTCTCGACGTCGCTTGCGCCAACCATGTTATGAGAAGGCCTGACTGATCGCGAAAGATCAACAAGCCAAAAAGCCGACGCCGAAGTGGGCGTCGCTTTTATATTATTACAGGGAGAAGGAAGCCTTTGGCCGTACAGGAAATGCGAAACAGAGAGAAACCAAAAGAGGAAACAAGCAGATACAAATACAGGTACAAGTACAAGTACAGAGCAGGTCGAGGATATGAACTGCTGGCAGAAGGACGAGGAAGGAGGAAGGAGCTAGTGGTGCGGTCGTGGAAGCAAGACAGCGGAAAGTGGAGACAAATAGGTCGGAACGTGGATGCTGAAAGTGACGAAGGGCTATCGCTGACGTTGTGCAGATACCCAATTCTGCAGTTCCTTGATACGTCGCTGCATCGGAGGACACTAACGAGCTGCTGATATGCACTCCGGAAGACTCGGATAAACGGAGGATAGTGTCGGAGGCGCATTATCTAGCAGAGCGCAGACAACCAGCTAACGATGACCGAAGTCCATGGACGCGTTGGTGCCATCGCACCAACAAGAAGACAAGCACAGGGAGCCAAGAACATGAGCGGGTCCGTTTTGCGATTCACCACCGTAATGGAGGTGTGGGGTGATCTCTTGATGGTACGCATCTTCCTATGGACAGCCGTCGAGATGAACGATTAAAACACAATGCCCCTGGGCTTGGTCGGATATAGGCATGACGCTCGAGATTGTATGGAACCGTTTATTGTATCCATTCCCACATAGTCTGACTAGCAAGGTCTGTCTCCTCGCCATGCTGTAGAGTTGTGTGAGGTGAGACGGGGTGGGATGGAGGAAGAGACGGAGGGCTGGGAGCTCTCGACCTTCTTCTGTCGCCAGGGATGAAGGAACCCGAAACATCGTCTTCGTCCTCGTCCTCGTCCTCGTCCTCATCCCGAATGACCATCAACTCATCCGGTGCTGCCGCTTCCTCCATCATTCCCGGAAGGACAATTACAAGGGACCTGTCGAAGGATTGGTCGTCTACGGACTGTGCACGTGGTGTCTGAATCGGTGTCGAACCGACCGACACGCTTTTATCCCTGTGCGACCTGTCGTCTCCGGTCATCAACTCCGGTGTACTCCGGTTACTGTCAAACGGGAACGTGTCCTCGGTCGCCAGTTCATATTCTGGCATCACTGGACTCCAATCCCATACCGGGTGTGTATCCCAGAGGTAATCCTCCTCTTCATCCTCCAGTTTAATGAGTGTGAAGTCTACCCCATTAGCTAGCGGATCTCCTAAACTCGGTTGTTCTGATGCCCGATCTGGAGATGGCGATGTCGTAGTCCTGTTTCCCTCGTCGCTTCCCGAGTTGGCGGGACCTGCGGGAGAGACGATGCTGCGTGATCGCAGCTGACGGATGTTGGTCGCACCAATCGTGTTGTCTAACGATATTGAACGTGCGTTGGATGGCCCCGCCGCGGCCTCCTCACTAATACGCGGCCTCTTCATCGGCCTTGCCTCGTCTTCTTCGCCATCCACGCACTCGACTGGGCGTTTGCCGCCTACCCGGACAGCACGACCTTGGGTAGCTCCCCTTCTGGTTTTTTTGCGGGTCCACCCATTTCCGCGTCTCTTGCGAGACTTCGGCTTGGGAGGAGGTGCGAAGGAGGCGTTCGGAAGGTCTGGACCTTATGTCAGCTCAATGCTGCACTTTACGTATGGTGGTCTAACTCACCTTCGCAAGGATCTTGTGAGCCTTTGGTGGAAGATCCCGAGGCCTGTGGCTGGCTATCAAGGACCTCGGCTGCATAAATCTTTTAATGAGGAACTTTGACATGGAACGAAGAGGGAGACTTACCATTTCTTTTACGTTTCGTTTCGACGACATGCGCAGCTTGTACAGTTTGGTTGTTAGAGGACTGGTCCTCTATAACGATGTTCGGTGGAAAAGCACCGGCGCTTTCCGTGCTGGTGCTGAAAGCATTGGTGCGGACGTTGGCGGAGCCTTCCGCCGCATTGTTATGGACGGCGGTGTCCTCTCTGGCCATTGACCGCAGGCCGTTTCCAGAGTGCGCAATACGCGAACGCCTTGAATGCGTTAATGTCGTCTCATTACTGACTGTCGTTTCCATGTTTGTGGTCTGAGTGGCTGCTAGTTGCTTCCGCATTGCGCGAGTGAGTACCATTGTGCTCTGTTATGTGAATGACGCGCTGTGGGAGGGAGTTGTTCCGAGGAACTCTTGTTGTGTGGGAGTGGGGGAAGGGAGCTGAGTTGGTTGACTTTGAGAGCCACGCTCTTTATATGATTTCACGATAAGGTCTGAGTCTCATCAAGACACATCAGTACAAATCTAACCATCTTCGTTAACCATTGTCTTCTAAGTCTCATCATCGCCTAAATTTCAAGGGCGGTTATTCCCGAGGCCACGATCAGTGAGTATTGAAGGAAATGCAGTGCAATTTTTTGACGTGCATGGTCTGGTTATACTTTTCTTTTCTTCTCCTCTGGGAGTGCCTCGTGCTTTCTCCAGATCCTGTGGAGAATAATGGAGGGGGGATTACGGATTGGTGGGATTCGATTGTCTGCAGTTTGCATGACTCTTATTCTTTCGTAGCTGAATTGTCGAGTGCGAGTCGTGCTTCTGGTCAAGAGATATTGTCGTAAGATCCGGACCTTGAACAATACAATTGTACTTCTCCCTTTTGACTCCTCGAACGATCTAGGGTTATTGCGCCGAGGGCTCGTACGGCAACTATTTGTTTTGGCTTTATCCATAGATTTTTCTTTAGAAAGTACTTCCGTTCGACGTTGGGGAGTCTGTCAGCAATTTTTTGTGAACGGCGTGGAGGACCCTTGATGCATTCTCTTAATCTGGGTACTCCTGACTTATAGTCAAAAGGAACAAGGACCGTGCACACGGACTAAGCGCAACGCTTGAGCCATGCGTTTTGACACTCAATAATATATTCCTTTATTTAAATCTTGAAAAACGAGAAATACCCGATTCATCCTCTGTTTTTGACTCATTCCCCTCTGTTCTTGCTGAGAATTTTACGCCAACAGGCTAGAAGCAACCCACTGGAAGGTAGAACTGGGCAGGAAAGCGGGATCGGTGCAATCGAACGGTCATCGCGTTCATTCTATATTTAGAAGGTCGCTGTCAGTGGCTCGAGCAACTTACTTCTTCATAGTTCGTACCGTTGATTTTTACACTGATACGTTTGGACGGTGATAAGTATAACAAATACTTACGTTTGTGTTTCGTTGATCAAAGTTTGCCAATAATGAAAGCAACGTTTGAAAGAGCTGAGACCTATGTCTTTCTGCTTCTTTCCCTTCTGGCTTGCCCAGTACAACGAGTTCAATGAAGAAAGGTCGTAGTTTATGAGAAATTAGCTGCTAAATATCATTGGAGTATGAAAAAGAGGAGCAATAAGGCCGAAAAAAAGTGTGATAAACTATAGATTACTGAGACGACCGCTCCACTGTAATTCGTAATGGCTTCCATAAGAAGTGCTGCTCGTTTCACTCACAATACACACAGTGTTACGGTTCTCCACTCTCTTACCTTCAGTTCCAAGGGTTCTGCACCCTTCTGTACTGGAACTCAGGACTTCTGTCCCTCAGGGGCACTGTCTATGGACTATATGTGTGCTGACTCTTACTACTACCCTTCCTTACTTCATCATTCCATTCCTTTGACCACCCCTTCATTCTCTGTTCATTCTATGGTCTCTTACCCTTTGTCCATCCCTTCATTCTTTGTACCTTTATCTTTAGCATTCCTTTCTTTCATTCTTCATGGCTTATTATTCTTAGTGGCTCATGCTCCCTGAGTACTCTTGTGTAGTTTAGTATATATAGGCATACAAGATCAGACTGGTCCTGTAGTCTTGATCTTGTCTACTCTAGATAGTCCTGTACTCTTAGGCTCACTCTATATACTCTACTCTTGTCTCACTCTCTCTCTCTGCCTGTTCTGCAAGTTCTGACTATGTTCCAGTGCTTACATTCTGTATTTCTGTTGTGTAGGATAGTTGTAGCCTGGGTCCCCTCACTGAGCCTTCAGGTCCCCTCTACACTGTTGCTGACATCAGATCAAGACTACTTATTACTACCCTACAACTCTCTTATGTTTTGAGCATTGGTACTCACTGTTGTGTTGATCTCTTTTCTTTGTCCCAACCCTTTTACATTTTTAAATTTTAAACTTTCTAAACCCTTTTAAACTTTTACCACCCTTCTTCTATTCATTACCCCTTTTAGTTTAGTGCTGATTCCTTTGTAGTATAAACATGGACCCTCCTACACTGACTGCTGCCCCTACTGTCCTGCCAGATCAGTAGTTATGAGTAGAACTAGCTTAATACATACAGACCTCTATCTAAGAGGCTTTTGCCAACCATGTGCCCCTAGCCTCTTTAGAACCTGTTCTGATTGTTCTGGAAGTTGTAACCTGTTCTAGAAAGAAAGTACATGTAGCTTACCCTTTAGACTTTAACAGGCAGCACTTTAAGGACTTCTAGTACTAAGTTAAACTATACATGGCTGCTACTTCAACCAATCTATCCTTAGATCTTAATTGTATCCTATTTGTCCTCTCCTTCATGAAGGAAGGCAACACAGCCACCTGGGCCCAGAACTGGATTGAAGGCTATTAGATTGGAAGTCTGATCTGACTCTAGAACAACAAGTTGTATTCAGAATTTATAGGGTAACTCTGTACTTCCTTCATTAATCTGAATAAGAAGTATAATACACAAAACAAGCTTGTGTCTCTGTAACAGGGCAAACATTCTACTAATACCTTCTTTCAGGAGTTCAATATCCTAGCCTGGAAGGCAGGATTTGTACTCAGGTTTAATAATGTCCTTATTAGAATACTTGAAAAAGCTCTTCACCTAGAACTAGTTAATAAGATTCTTAGAATAATGCTAGAACTAACTACTTACACTGAGTGGAAGATGTACACCATTTCCTTTGACCAAGCTGTAGCTTGAATGTGTTAGGTCTGTACAGAATGCTTACACATACATTTAGCTCTAACAGTTCTGAGTCCTTAGATCAATCTGTCTGTAATTTGCAATTAATCTGTTCTGATGAACATTAGAGAAGCCTGAAAGTAAGGAGCATACTTTACTTACAGAAAGTCAGAGTACTAAATTAAGGACTGCCTACAGAAGCAACAGTATATCTGTCAGGTCATTAGAGTAATAATGAGTAATAAGTAGGATTTGTAGTAAGAAGCCTTTTCTACAAATCTAGAAGTTATCTCAGAACTCTTAGACCCTAACTATATACTCTAGAATTTTGTAGAGACTTAACAGTAAATGTAGTACTGAAGAGCTATAACTCAGATTTTTTAATAACTACTTTTGATTTAATAGACACTGTAGGATTAGAAGTAAATAAAGTAAGAAAAGTAGAAAAAGTAGAAAAAGTAGAAAAAATAAATTAACAAAATTATTTATTAGAAAGAAAAAGTTAAAAACAAAAGTAGATAGTTCTCCTATTTCTTCTGATTCTTTTGATTCTTCTCTTTACACTTCATCTGAGTCTAAATCTGTACAATCTGACCTACTACTTCTGTATTCTAAGATTTCAGAATGTTCAGAACACTACCCAGCCCTGTTTACTACTTAGTAGTTTGTTTGTAGTATTAAGTAGGGATAACTTTAGCTGAGTTTACAGCTAAGGACATGAGTCTGTCCTTGTTGAAAGAGAGAGGTTAATAAGGAAATGTTAGTACATATACTTACCCTCTTAGACAACAAGACTGTACAAGCTGTACATTCCCTTCAGAACAAGTAGCAGTTTATTAGAGAATGTTCTAGACACTAACTCTAAGTCTCTATCCTCTTAGCTCCCTTCTTAGGATCCTCCCAGATCTAAACAATAACTCTAGTAGACAGTAGATACACTAGTTTATACATTAATAAGGCCTTTGTGTAGGAACACTACCTCCCTACTTAATACATTCTACTTCCAATCCTAGTATACAATGTAGACAGAACTCTAAACCAGAATAGTCAGATTACTGAGTTTGTCCAACTATGGATGACCATTCAGGATCATGAGGAAAGTATTGAGTTTAGAGTCACTAACCTTAGAAAGACAGACATCTTTATTAGATTCAAATGGCTTAAGGCTTACAACCCTACTATTGACTAGTTAGAGTAGACACTTGTGTTTGATTAGTGTCCTGAGTTTTGCAGCTACTTTGTACTACTGTTCTAAGTAGATGTAGACACTTCTAATGTTACTGACAGTTCTAATAAGAGTAACCAGTTGTTCTTCTTTGACTAGGATAAATATGTGGACACATATTCTAGTCAAGGTAGAACAGAGTTGATCTGAAGGATGTCTAAGATGGAACTAGTCTGGAACCCCTTTAGAACAACTCTACTCTAGAATGTACATAGACTCAGCCTGCTAGATTTTGTCTAAGAGTTCTCTGAAGTCTTTAGTAAAGAGGAATTTGACCAGCTTCCTAAATACTGTTTCTAAGACTATATAATTGAATTGACTAAGGGTTTCCAACCTAAGGATTGTAAGGTCTACCTACTTAACAGAGACAAGTAGGAGGTGCTTGACAAGTTTCTTCAGGAAAATCTTTGGAACAGCTAGATCTGACTCTTAAAGTCCTCTATAGTCTCCTCTTTCTTCTTTATCAAAAAGAAAGATAGGAAGCTCTACCCAGTCCAGGATTATTATTGTCTTAATGAGGGTACTGTCAAAAACAAGTACCTACTCCCCCTGATTCAGGAGCTCATTAATAAGACACATACATTTAGGGTTTTCACTAAGTTGGACATTTAATAAGGATACAACAATATTTGGATCTAAGACAAAGATGAGTGGAAGGCTGTATTCTGAACTAATTACAGATTGTACAAACCAACTATAATGTTCTTCAGACTAACTAACTTACTTATAATATTCTAGTTATTCATGAATCACATTCTTACAGATCTGATTGACTCAGAGTATGTTAGTGTGTATCTAGATAACATTCTGATCTTTACCTAGACAGTTGAGCACTATTACTAACTGATCCAAGTAGTTCTACAACAGCTCTAAGATAATAAACTGTTCCTTCAAGAAGTAAAGTACTCTTTTGTGTAGGAGTTAGTAGATTATCTAGACTTTGTAATTAGTAGAGGAGAGGTCTGTATGGATCTGACA